TGCGCGTCCTGTGCTGCCCCCTTCCTGGAAGCGTGGCTGGCGGGGTCTCTGCAGACCGGCCTGCTGGGAAGCCCCAGCGCCTGCTCCCCGCTGCAGGATGTGCACCGAGGCTGGCCCAGGAGCGCGGCAGGGTGCAGAGCCGCCTGCCTCCCGCTGCCCCCACCCCAGGGGCCAGAGCCTGGCACTGCGGGTCCCTCCCTGGGGCGGGGGGATCGTGGCGGGCGGTTCCCCTGGCCCTGCAGCGGGTGCTTTGCCCCCTCCCTCCATCCCCTGCGCCATGAGCGACCCCCTGCCCCGGGCCGGCAGGTCACTGCTGCACCAGACCCCTCGCTCCAGCAATGCCTCCGCGGCTGTGAGGCACGTGGAGGGGGAGGGCACAGCGCTTCCCTTTCAACTCCCCGCACCTGAGGGCCCCCCCCAGCTGCACCCCAATCTGCTGAGGCCTGCCACATCTGCACCCCGCGCATTCAGGCCCAACTGATTTATGGACACCCGATGCTGGGGCCGCCGGCCTCTCCTGCCAGGCTCGTTAGCAGCCGGCAAGGGAGCGAGGCCAAGGCCCGCAGAAACAAGGGAATACTTGTTGAAGCACTGAGGGAGATGCACTGCCCTCCTCCTCAGCCCGCAGGGGAGGGCCAGGCCAGTCCCTGGCTGGCGCGGGCACTGGCACTAGCACAGCAGTCCATGCACCCACGGGCCAGGGCAGAGCCGGGGGGCAGGGAGCAGAGCGAGGGAGTCGCAGGGCGCTGGAGATACCCACAGCTCCCCCCAGACCCGGCCTCCATGAAAAGGGGCTCTCGGGAGACCAGGCCTAGAGCAGCCGGGCCCCAGACCCCGATGCAGCCTGCCAGGGGCAAGGGCCCCGTGCAAGCTCCGTGTGTCCATCCCCCACCCCCTGCGCCGCGCAGGGTTTATTTGATCATCTTGAGAAAAGCATTTACCGCCGACAAGCGGCTAATTAATTCTCCTCAAAGACCTCTCAATTATTCATCCCCGGCCACAGAGAAAACAATTACAGCGCTTGCCTCGGGCCTGGGTCCAGCTGCTCTGCCGGGCCGGGTGGGCACGGGGCCGGCAAGGCGGGCACAGCCCCCGCGGGCAGGAGTGACCTGCCCCTGCTGTGCCAGGCAGGCCCCACCCCGCAGCACCATGCTCTTGGCCCAGCCCCTGCCCTTGCACAGGCTTTTGGGGGCCAGTCGCTCACCCTCTGCCCTTGCCCCCGCAACCACCCCTCCTTGGTGTGGCCCTGAGGCTGAACCCTGCAATGGCAGCAGCCGCCATGCAGCACCTGGCACCAGGGGTCTCAGGTCCGGCAGCGATGCCAGTGCAGTGGGGCTGATCCCGATGCCTGCTGGGCACAGGCGGTGCCCGCCACTGGGGGGGCGGCAGGGGCGGAGGAGCAGGCCAGGCTGCATAGCCCGGCTCCTGGTGGGGAAGGGGAAGGGTTAACTGCCGGCAGCTGGCCCCCAGCCCCACGTGCTGGCTGCCGGCAGCAGGCCGGGCCTGTCGGGAAGCAGGGATTTCTGCAGTGGTGTTACTGGAAAAATTGTGGCAGAAGGTGGGAGGGGGTCGCCATGGCAACGCCCGCCGTGCAAGCAGGTTGGCGGGTGGCGCGGTGTCTCCCGGGCACCGTCCCATTGCCCCGGCACAGCAGGGTGCAGGGAGCCACCAGTGCCAGCTGCCCCCGCCAGCCCTGACCCCTTAGCCACATCCCCTCATCCCGCAGACGCTGCCACCTCCCCGGTGGGGCTGAGCTCTCCTTGGCTCCCGGCTGCCTGGCAGCCCCTCCCAGCAGCCCCTCCCCATATCAGGGCTGGCCGCTGCATACAGGGACCACCGGGGCGGCAGGGCCCCAGATGGGGGAAGGGCCAAGGGGGGACAAGAGCTGCCCAGACTCAGCTCCCCCCGTGCAGAGGGCTGGGTGGGCCAGGGGAGGGCAAGGGCAGAGCCGAGGCCGAGGGGCGGCAGCCCCATTGCACATCGGAACTCTGCTGTGCTCTCCCCAGCCTGGGGCCATACACTGCCCCTGCGCTGGTGCATGCAGGCACCTGCACAGCCCGGCAAAGCACAGCCTGCGCCTGCCCCGGGCCCACGGCTCTGCATGGCAGCCCGCAGCCTCCCTCAGCACAGAATGAGCTCAGGAGCATCCCCTCCACGGGGCACAGATGGCAAGGCACCCAGCCCCCTCCACAATGCAGTCACTCAGCTTGGCGCAAGCTGCAGCTGCAGGGGCTGAGAGCACCGGGGGGGCACCGTGCCCGTGGAGAAGCTCGGGGTTATACCAACCTCTCCCATGCAAATGGCTGGCTGGAAAGGCTCTGCCCCATGAGCAGCCGGCTCGCACCATGGGAGAGCACTGGTCATGGCTGCACATGCCCTTGGTGGGCTGTGCCCCCCATGCGTAGAACTGCTTGCTGCTGTCTCAGGCTGTGCGGCATCTCCCAGGAGCCTGGGGGCTGCATGCGGTGCCCAAAGGCCATGCAACCCATACAGGCCTCTGCTGCCATATGATATCCATGCAGGCCCCTGCCAGGAAGGTCCTTACAGCCAAAGAAGGGATGTGAGGCCACACTGGGCCCCTGGGCTCCGGGAACTGCCCTGTGAGGCTGCCAGCGCAAGTCGGGGGGAGGGGAAGGGGGCCAAGTCTGCGATATGGCCACGCTCCTCTTGTTCAGGGCTCAGCAGCTAATTTTAGCAGTGGGGAGGCCGGCTGCACAGCATGACCTCAGCCCACAGCAGCTCCGCATTCCTCCGGAGTCACCGCGGGGGTGGGGGCAGGGGTTGCCCTGGCAGGGGGTGACAGGCCAAGTCTCCGCAAGGTCCTGGGGCTGCATCCCCTGTGCTGTGAGCTTCCTCCACCGCAGTGCCAGCAGGGCCGTGCCCACAGGAGGAGCTGCAGTGCCCAGGAGGGCAAGAGAGCTGGGCTGGAAGCCTCCCACACTCTGCAATAAGCTGCTCTCCTGGGAGACAAGCATCTGCCCTGGGGCCCATTAGACCAGCCGGGAGGCAGAGAAGTGGCCTCGGCCCTGGGGGGGCTGGCTGTCCATGGGGCAACGCCCCACGCAAGGAGGCCTCCACATGCCACAAGGACAGGAGCACCTGGCTTTGCCCCCTGCTCCAGGACCCAGCCAGTGCTGACCGTCACCACCCCCTGCGCGCCACGGTGGCTGCACTTCCTTCACCTGCTCCACGGCCGACCCGCGGCCCTGCAGTTACTGGAAGAGGAAGCTGCTGGGAAGGCAGCGGCACATGTATGGGGAAGGCTGGGAGAGGCGCAGGGAGCCGCAGGCTGCGCTGACCAGGCTTCTGAGTCCAGGGCCAGTAACGGGAAGCAGCTGCTCCCAGTGCCTGTAAATCAGATCGGGGAGATTAGGCCTCTTTGCCTAATCACAAGCAGCTCCAAGTTGAAGGACCAGTTACTGGAATGAGGAGGAAACAGAGGCAATAAATAAAGAGAAACTGCTACCATCTGGCCTGGGCGAGTCGCCCCGCAGGGGCTGCCCTAGCTCGGGCGCCTGCTCCCTGCACGGGGCCAGGCCAGGCACCCCCGCCGCAGCTGGGGGAAGAGGAAGAGGCCAGGGCAGGGGCCACACACAGGTGCATATTTGCATGGACCCAGAGGTGCCTCTGCTTGTGCGGGTACTGGGGACACCTGTGCAAGGCAGGTGGCACTCACTCATGCAGGGAGGGCATGCAGTGCCCCAGAGCTGCACCTGCTCCCAGAGGGAAGAGAGGCCTGTGCTGTGGAAGGAGGGGGGACCTCAGGGCCCCCCCTGTGGCCCCAGCCCTGCTCTCAGGAGCCGCCCAGCAGGAGCAGGCAACAGATGTGCTGCTGCACAGGAGCTGCCCCTACACCAGCCCCCAGGCCTGGGCTGCTCTGCTCAGGGGCTCCCCCACTTGGTGAGGCGAGGGCAGCCCACAGCTCCCGGCCCCATGGAGCACAGGCCCATGGAGACGGAGGCCCTCGCGGTTGCCACAGGCCCAGCCCCACCTGCCCCATGGACCCGACGCCAGAGGCACCACCTGCTGCAGGGCTAAAGTCCACGGCTCTCAAGGACACTCAGGCCTGGCTCTGGCTCCTGCCCCTCCCAGACAAAGCTCCCCAGCCCAGCACACACCCACCCCCCACCCCCAGCTCCAGGCAAGGATGCAGCTGGGGGCTTTCCCCAGGGTCTTGGCACCCTCAAGGGAAATGCACCCCCATCTTGCTGTGAAGCATGAGCACATGCGAGTGGTGCCCCCCAACACGTCTGCACAGGGCCCAGCACCCAGTGCGTCCCCAGCAGCCTGGTACCCTGCCAAGGCCCTGGGGAGCCTCTGCCCGCCCGGGGGCGGGGCCGAGCCCCGGCGGCTCCGCTGCAGGCCGGGGCCGTTGCACGGCGGGACGCCCAGAGCCAACCCTGAGCTGACATCCGGCCCCGTGGGCAACCCGGCCGGGCAGCTGCCGGACTCGGAGCAGCC